TCTCCCTTTTTATAATTACCATAGTGATAATTATTATTATTTTGGCCTTTCGTACGCCCACATTCATTGGTCAACCACTTGTCTTTATTTAGACTTATCATGCACTGCTATCACATTCACTTCAAGAATGGAGCAAATCAAGTGGAACAAGCTTCATGTTTTTTCATGAAAAATATATTATTTTTTCTTTAGTTATTATTATTATTATTATTATTATTATTATTATTATTATTATTATTATTATTATTATTATTATTATTATTATTATCGATATGGTGCATTAGGACTCCAACCCAATGTCTTACCCATATAAAGGCATGCTAGGCCATAATGCGTTGGAATTTGAATCGAACGTCTTTTCATCTACATAATAGTGCGTTGGGACTCGAACTCATCGTCTTACCCTCAATCTTTGTCATAATAGGCCAAAATTCACTAGGACTCGCACTCGAGCTTTTAAAATATTATTACTTCATAATTATAGGCATAAATAAATAAATTTTCAAAAAGACATATATAACTATTTCAATCTTGAACCAGTTCCTCTACAACAAAAATGCTAGTTAGGATATATGCCATTTTTTTTAAAATGATACAATCACTTTTATATTTTAATAAATTAATTAGAAAAAAGTTGCAGATAACCTATAACCACTTATATTTCTAAGACTATAAGAACTTCACCAAAAAAATTCAATACGAAGGAATGAGCCTTATGTTTCCAGCAAAAATATTTAAGGCTTAATGCATAACCGTGACTATTATAAATTATAACTATAATGAGTCTATATTGATTGTATATTCGAATGCCAAAGTTGTAAGATACTTTAAAATCGCCAACATATTTGATAATTTTGCTTTCAATGAAATATATCATGTGATGGTAAAAATATTATTACTAAATTACCTTAATAATTATTTATCATAGTATGTAAAAGGTCAGAATATATATATATTAGAATATTATCTTTTTCCTATAAGAGATGTAGCAAATAAAGACATACCTTTCCAGTTCTTTATTTCAGTGGATACAATTGAAAAAAATATTTTAACTAAATACTGCACATAAAGTTAATGCAAATATATGAAAGTATGAACAGGGTTTAGATTGATGTAAAACTTATCTTTGTATTATCATCCAAGACGTTTTTCATTGTACTTGATCTCATTGTCTGCTTATAATTTACATAGTCTTGACGTAGAAGATCATGAAATGAGCAATTCGTGCTGATAACGTGTTATAAAATAAAAGCAATATAGTAAAACATGAACAAGACATGTTGTTATGAAATAAAAGCAATTTAGTAAAACATGAACAAGAAATTGAGATAGAGAGAAGGAAGAGATTTTCTTATTCAATTGTGTGTATTTTCTTATCTATTACAAGGCCTTTATATAGACATGAAAAGTGAAGAAAAATATGTCATTGAATATGTCATTAAGCATAGAAATATATTATTAAATATGTCATTAAACACTTGAGAAGACCATGGAGGAAGAGTAGACATCCACCATAATTTGATTTTTCTTATAACAATAAACCACTTTTAGTACATTACTTTACTACTATATAGAAGAGGGAATAAGCAGACACCAGGTCAACATACTTGCCTGGCATTGTAAGGGCATTTCGGTAACTTCATCAAATAGAGCACTATCATTGGTTAAGAAGTACAGTTATCATGCATTTTTTATGTGGCTTGACCAATTCGCCCTCCAATCTTTGTTGCAAAGTGTGGGTCCAACTTTCATTCCACGTGCTACGTTTATCCTTTATGAAACAGCCACTTAACTAACTATGTGGGCCCACAAGGATTTTACATTTCACACCTAGCTCTCCATTCTCATCCAGGGATCGCTAAAACTCTTAATAAGAGTAAAAATATAGACACAAGTATACATTTCCATACAAGTAAGCATTAAGTCTGAAGCCAAAACAACAATTCTACCAGTTTTTACACTGAATAATTACGCCGAAAAATAACATGCCTAAATATTACTCCCTCCGGTCCGCTTAATTAATTTTTTGGTTATTTTTACACATATTAAGAAATTTATTTTTAAGCATTAATTAATAATAAAATTGACCGTATTAACCTTAATTTGTTCATTAGAAATATAACAAAATACTACTAATCTCTTTACTCCAAGGGCAACCTTCAAAAAAGGCCAAAAGAGTTTGGACCAAATTTAACGCATGTTTAACTTTTGCTACGTTATAGTTCAACTTTAGCCATTGTTTATTTTATTTCTAATTATTTTAGCGGTCATTTGAATAATTTGATTTGACTGAAGTTAAAAGGAAAAAAGTTCTTGAAGTTGTATTTCATCTATATTTTACTTTAATAAAATTGAAGATTATAATTATTTTATTTGATACATTCTAAGAAGTATTTAAATATTTCACCTTATAAATTTTGGTAATAAAAGTTCAGTGTTGAATATTGGTGGTTATGTATTTTCAAACATTGGATTTTAGTATTCAAATATTATTTATGGATGAGTGTAGATTAGTATTCTACTTCTAATATTAAGAAAGTTTTCTATTATTATTTATGGTAAGATTAGTATTCTACTTCTAAATCTAATACAGTAGAATGCACATACAAATTGTGAGACCCACTTTTCCTTAAAAGTTGCATGTTTCATACTTGCACAAAATACAAATACTTTTTGGTAGCTAATTCATTCCAACCATAGAAACTGAAAATGAAATTCTATTAGAATTCAATTAAATATTTAAATTTTATGCCATCAGGAACTAATAAATTTTTGAGTATGAATAGAAAATATGTTAAATCAATTGTTCAATATAAAAAATTGACAAGTTAAAGCGTAACAGAATTAATTCACTAAATAAAAAATAATATTTGCATAGAAATAGATTATATATGCTAAGCTGAAGTTTAACTGTACCAGCAAGTAAATAATTAATATTCATATTCATCTAAATTTTTAAACATTATGAATTCATGAAGAAAGTAAATACGATATAACAATTTACAATTTAATTAGTTGCTGATGCTTTCAAACATTAAAAGTATTTTGTACGACAACTCTTTCATTTGAAGGCATGTGCATACCTTTTTCTTCTAACAAAAGTATGATTAACTAAATAGAAGTTACTCTGAGATTTTATATTAATTTACAACTTTAAATTAGTTTTTAATTTAACTTTTATGATATTATGTCTAACATATTAAACCTTATACTATCATGAATTTATTTATTTAAAATGCAAATATTTGAATTAATTACTAATTTAGTTATTAATTTATTTTATATTTGCTATTCATCCTAAATTCAATAGATCGGATCACTAGAATATTTGTGTTATGAAAAAAATGATAATTAATAATATTTTAAGTTAGTTACTTTTTGAATTGCAATTGATATGTCTATTTTTATTACGAGCACTTGAAACTGATTTGATTATTCTACGAAAATAAAAAATGATGCAAATTTGTGTTGATATTCCCTCAAAAAATATATCTTACACACAATTATTATTTATAACTATCTTTAACATTATGCTCAAATTTTAAATATAATAACTTTATCTAAAATTTTAGCTAAAATTATTCAATCCCCAATTAGTATATACGTAATGTTTAATCTAGAGAAAGTTGAGACATAAAGAATATTTTAAGGAGTAATTATTCATTAGCTAATATAGGCAAAGCACACCTAAGCAGTTAAAGATTTTATAAGGGTTTTCTTTGATACTTGAGAACATTGATTAAAAAAGTTTTTAAAAAATATGCGGCTAGATAAAATTGTATAATATTAGATTCTTTTTCTTTTATCACAGTTTTAATTGTAATATTGGGCCCGTGCGCAACACGGACTTTATTTCACTAGTATTGAAGATCCATACAAGTGTTGAGCCAAGCAAATGTCAATCTCATGCATTTTTTCAGGGAGGCAGACCATCTTGCCAAATTAGCCACCACCAAATCTGATGGCTCTGAGGGGCCAAGGGACCTTTTCAATTTGAGAAATGGCAAATGCCAAGTATTAGAAATATGATAATGATAAAAAAAAATATTTAAGCTGGCTACTTGTACATCACGTGGAGGGGTGGTGGATGGTATAGTTGATCCCAATTCCCTCAAGGTAATGGTTTGTGATTTTTTACAAACTTATTTTTAGTTTTAGGTAAATTTCATAGGCGGTCCCTTAAACTTACAACAACAACAACAACTCAGTATAATCTCATTAGTGTGGTGTGGGGAGGGTAGTGTGTACGCAGACCTTACCCCTACCATGAGGTAGAGAGGCTGTTTCCAATAGACCCTCGGCATCCTTCTCTCCAAGAACTCTCCACCTTGCTCTTGGGGTGACTCGAACTCACAACCTCTTGGTTGGAAGTGGAGGTTACTTACCTCGGTCCCTTAAACTTGGCAATATTTTTTATTTGAACACCTATACTAGGGATAATACCAATTGAACACTTGAAGTGAACACAAATTATGTCAATTAGGCACAAAATTTGCAGCTCCAACTAGTGGTGGCAAATGGACAGGTTGGGTCGGATTTGGGCGGGTTGAAAATGGGTTCGGTCTCAACCCGCTCATATTTTATGCGGGTCAAAAATGGGTTGGATGTCAAATAGACAGGTTGAGTATGGATTAACCCATATTATATAAGTGTAATATTTTTTCAAGTGCAATTTATAATTTTTCTTTGTTCAGATTATTTAGTGACATAAGTTTAACTGGAATAATATATACTTTTCATCATTAAATTTATTCAAATTTGACTATCATATTGTAAACTTAAGTTACTCTTCCACAAAATATGACAACTATTATTTTAGAAAGAAAATATGCTTAATGCACTTCACGCAATATCACTAATAATATATGACTTTGTATATTTTCACCTTTTTCATATATTGTCTACAATCTAATAGATAATTAAATAAATTTAAAATATATATAATTATAATAATGATAATAGTAATAATAATAAAAAGGAAAAAAGAAAAAAAATACAAATTCTTAATGTACTCTTGTGTATCTCTTTAAATGATGTAGTACAGGTGGGAAAAAATATTCTCTTTCTTAACAATGTACTCTTCAAGAACAAATGGAAAACTATACAAATCTGCTTCTGCTTCTGCTTCATAAATTATATTTGGTATTCGAGTATGCACCTAAAAAGAACAAGATATTTCTAAAAAACGCTTAACATATAGTAAACGGTACTTACAATATTTAAAAGGGAAAAAAGTACTCACATAGTCGATTATAGTGAGAAAATATTATTCATGATCTCCAGCTCTTTCCCACCAGCTCGTTCTTATCTAGGCATCTAGGCGAACCCATCGGGTTAATTAACTCAACGTAAAGAAAGCTCATTAGGTCAAAACTAGGGGAGTGCTTACTAATAGCGAAAGGTTAACGTCTCCCCGCCCTTATTAGTAGCGAACATCAGGTAATTTCGTGCTGTAAAACGACAATGGGACGACCCAGGATGTAGAAGATCATAACATGAGTGATTCGACAGATTTGGATTCATATATATATCCACACATGTGGTACTTCATTCTACGATATATATAAGATCCAAAAAAACATACGAGGAAGAGGGGTTGGAATACCTTTATAGTATTTTCGATTTCAAAAATGATATCATGTATTTTGATTGAGCAAAAGTTAAAAAATAACCTATTAGGCTAACTCATATTTTACCCATATTTTACCCATAAATATTCGAATTTCTACGGATTAAATATGAATTGAAGCCCAAATTTTACCTTACTTAAAATTAGAAGGGTATATAAAATATGGTCTCATTTTGACAGCACTACTCCCAACAAACAAAATGGTGGGTAAATCACTTGCTCTTGACGTGGCAAGTAAACCAATGAGAAGAGAACACGTAAAGAGAAATGTTGAGGGGAAATCAGACCCCTTTTCCTCTCTTAAACCCATTCTTCCCCCACTTTTTCAGAACACGTAACGAGAATACTTTTCTTTGCTTTTTTCATTGACAAGATTGATTAGTAATACGAGTGTATACAAATTCAAGCATAAAAAAGAGATTATTTGAAACCATCAATTTTTTTAAAGGGAATTGTTCACCATCAGGACCTCATAGGAACAAAGACCCAAAGCTCAAATTTTCAGTGAGAACCCATCTCCTTATTTTTGCTTCTTTTTTTTTTTTCAAATCTAATAATACGATATTTATTTGTGGTGGCCGGTTATTTGAGACCGTGTGATGATTTTTGTAAGTGAAATCCATGGCCGTGCATGGAGACTAAGTGGGCGTTTGGACATAAAAATGATAAAATTCCAAAAAAAATGTGAATTTTTTTTTAATTGAAAATGATATTTAAAAATTAGAGTTGTATTTAGACATGAATATAATTTTGGGTTATTTTTGAAATTTTGTGAATGATTTGAGCGAAAAGCCAAAAATTTTGAAAAATAATTTTTTGACCAAAATTTATTTTCAGGTGAAAATTAAAAATTTTATGGCCAAACACTAATTTCGAAAAATATGAAATTTTTTCGGAAAAAATTAAAAAAATTCTTATGTCCAAACATGCTCTAAGATGTGAAAGAGTGAAATTAAATTTGGGCTTGGTGTTCGCGGTTGTGTAGGGATGGCGATGCGGTAGAGTATGGGAGGAGTTGGGACGGAGAGTAATAGAGTAAGATAAAAGTAATTATGTGGTACCCTCTTTCTGTTGAATTTAAGTGATTTTATAAATAAAAAAATTAGTCTTGGCTGTAAATGTTTTGGTCACATTGAATTTGAAAGGTAGAATGGTCAAATATATCCCTCTACTTTCGGATATTATTTATATTTAACTTCCGGTATAATATCCAGTAAAATTTGCCCTTAGCGTTATACTATAAAGCTAAATTTACACCTACCACCGGCGAACCTTTAAAAATAGAAAGATAATGCCTCTCCCACGCCTCAATAGTGGTGTGTTACATACACCATGCCATGTCACCAGTTTGTGTACACAATTTATGGTTCGCTTCAAGCGTTCAATAGGTACTTTCATTAGTTTAAGAGCTCGTTTGGACATAATTTATTTTTCTTTTTTTCAAAATAAATTTATTTTTTTTCGAAATCAACGTTTGTTCATAAAATTTCTAATTTTCAGATGCATTTTGGAAAATTTAAAAAATTTTAAAAAGCTGTTTTTCAAATTTTTTTCACTCACAAAATTTTAAAAACAACCCAAAATTATATTCATGTCCAAACACAAACCCTAAATTTTAAATATCATTTTTACTTAAAAAAAATAAAATTCTCCTATTTTGAAATTTTACAATTTTTATGTCTAAACGCCCACTAAGTGTTCAACTAAAAAGTATTGACAAATTTAAGGGGATGTTTATGTATTATGCCTTAATTTTATGACCATATCATTTTTTTACACATAAGAGATATTAAAGTATATTTCCTTACCGAGAAGCCCATTTCCTCCTTAAAAATATGAGAACTTTACATAACTGTCACAATTTAAAAGAAATATAACAAATTCGTAGCATGAAATCTAACATTACAGTTGTGACAGGAAAATATTTATATTTGTAGCACACAATTCCATTAAAATAGGAATATTAATTATTAATCTCTAAACATAAGCAATTTGAATGGGAAGTCAATAATTATTTGTATAAAAATCATGCCTTTTTTTCTCTCTTTATCTATTAGCTTTCCTTCTTTTTCTTCCTCTTCTTAATTTTATTTTCTGCTGAAACCAATATATTTTCTAAATTTGTTCCATTCGTTTTCTTTTTAATTATTTTTCTTAAGTTTTTCTCTTCCTTCTTTCTTCCCTTTTAACATAAAGATCTTACTTTGATAATAATATATGCTAATATATACAAAACGTATATAAAAAAATATATATTGAATTAACACATAAAATATACAAAAAATATACATAAAAAATACATCTTCAATTAAGATGACACTTGAACATGTGAAATATACATAAAATATATATATATATATATAAAATATCCTGAATTAAAATGACACTTGACATATAAAATATATTTAAAATATACATTAAAAATACATCTTAAAATAAGATATCACTTCACAAATAAATATACAAAAATTATATACATAAAAATATATTTTGAATTAAAGTAATAATTGATATACAAAATATAAAAGACGTATAAATCAATACATCTTGAATTTAGGTGGCATTCACATATGCATCAGATTTTAAAAAATGGAGTGAAGAAGATGAATGTTGGGCTTTATTTTTGTAATATGCTAATAATGAAAAAAAAAGTACTATTTATGGAATGAAGAATAAATGATGCTATTTTTTTAAATAATAGTTAAAAATGATCAAGTGTGTAAAAAACTCTAAAAAGAATACAAAGTAATTTCAAACATGGAGTAATTATGACAAGTACTATTTACAAGATGAATTATGACAATACATCAATATTGCTTGTACATAATCTTGCACATGTCACAGCGAACAAATTAAATATCTTGTGATCATTTCATAATTTTAGCAATTACCAGTTATCTGTTTTTTTCTAGTTCTTGGGCATTATAGTCAGAGAAATAAAACGGAAGAAAAAGAGGGTTGTCGAGGGAGGAGAGCCAGGGAAGAGGCAGTGCATAGAATGGGCAAGCAAAAATTGCACATCTCATGCTCTACCTCGTCCCTGTCTATCCTCTCCATCTTCGTTATTCCACACCATATTTTACCTCAAAATAGAGACTCCCTTTGCCAGTGCCCTTTACCTCAATAGAGACTCTCTTTGCCAGTGCTTTTCATAGTAGAACAAATGGTTAATGCAATGGCTGCTTTATTAAGGAGTAAAGAAAGGCAAGATATAGTCATAGTACAAGTGTTAGTACTACTAAGGAGTACAGACATACGACTTCTCTGTTTCTAAGTTTCAATTATATGCCTCATTGTACTGCAGATTTCGGGTTGTAGTACAAAAAGCAAAGTTTGCCTAAAACTAAAAGCTACTTCTAGATAAAAGGTCCTTTAAAATAATACATAGTTTATTACGATTACAACTCAAGAAAACAATGCAGAAAATCTTCTTTTTTTGATAAAAAAGACGTGAAGGTAATCTACCAAGAGAATGAACAGAAATTAGTTTTTTTAATAGGGTCATGGGATATCTCGATCATTTTCCCTTCCTTTCTTTGCGTCATTGATAAGGAACCTTTACGTAAGACAAGCTACTTTATCTATTTATCAACTAGCATGGTTGGACCAACCTCTAGTCCAGAACAAGTAGCAACTGAATTTTTGGTAACTAACAACTTAGAAATCATGTCAAATCCGATGATCACTTTTGTTGTTCCGATACCGCAAAGGTATTTGATGATGACACAGCAAAATGCCTATATATTTCGGGTTCGCTTATTGAACAAGTACCACAAACAGAAAATCAGTTGAAGGACTGCTCTTTAAGTTTCACGACCAGAAGTCGCGTTTTTCATCACTAAAAAGGTGACAACCTGAATGTAGAATTCACCACATTTACATTAGAAGTATAGAACAGAGGGAGACTAACAAGAGAATCAAATATCCTCGTTTATGAGTCACTAACATTATTCTCAAATAACTAAGTAACTACCAAGAACCTTAAGTTAGAAGTACAGATTGGAAGAATGATCAAGAAAAGGTATCTTCCTCCCAAAGCTGGACCACTTTTGTCCATTGACCTGACAGCAGAAGGAAAAGAAGTTCATTGAGAAGCATAATCAATCTTGCCACTCCCAAATGAGACTTTTCCGCACAGATATACTATAGAAAAGCCAAATGAAGAACCACAATTTTCAATTGCTAAGCATCTGAGATATACAACCAAAAACAAGTCCAAAATGACATCCCAATACTGGAAGCACAAGGATATACAAGAAACAGCTACCAAACGACTGCAATGCACTACTATGTTACACAGTTATACTGTATGGTTTACCCAGGTCTGGAGATATGGTTTCGTTTGACTTCCATATCAAACTTATAGTGCAAGGAAAAGACATTAAATTAATTGTGAAAGCTACTATAAAAAATGCTTGATAGAGGAAAACGTCACATTCCATTCTATCAACTCGTGATTTATTAGAAAGTCAAATCAGAAACTCTTAAACAAACTTTCAAGTTCATGAGATTAGTTGAGTGGTCCCAGTTGGAGATGGGTAACAATTTATCCTAAAATGTTGAATGCGGGTCTAAATTACAAAGCATCCTAAAATGGAAAAGGCACTCAATGGATATGTGATGGATTTACCTTGGGGGCTGGGGGCAATAAATCCTAATAATTTTGAACTATCTTACCACACTAGTACTTTCACACATTGAGAACCTTCTTCATTAACTTACTGAAAACACATTATATGTGCTTTACCATAAGCAAGTTCATAATTACTCATGCTAGCTTATTCAGTGAATGAACAAAAACGAAAGACTTTAACTCTCAGATCAGCTTCCTAATCAAAGTAATATCACCTCATGCCTCTCCAGAATCAGTTTCCTTACTGAAGAAAGTCATCTTCCATCTGAATCTTTTCATTGCCGGCAGCTAGTCACTACTATCTCAGGCTTTACACAAGAACTAACAAAACAATTTGAACACGCTGTTGCAGATAAACTTCACCTAACATTCAACATTGAATAGCTTTTTTCTTTTTAAGATACATTATCTGTTTAGCTGTTCCTTCAATTTTCACCCTAACTTCGCTCATCTTTGCTGTTGCCAATGGACTACTTCAATTATGCTGATAAATTTTTTCCTTTTGACAATAAATTTCAATTTATTTATCGACTATATAGGAAAGGTGATGTGATCATAAAAGGAAAAACCTTCTTAGTTCTTAAAGTTTTCAGCACCCACCCCCACCCCCCCAAATCCAGCAAACCCCAAAGGGTGATGGTCATGTGTCTTAATAACAGATGACCCAAACAAGAAATAACTCACATTTGAGGCACATGCATATTTTTAAATCAAAGTTTACTAGTTAGATATTTGACCAATATACAATTTTTTTAAAAAAGAATAAAATATGAGATAAAGACTGTTTTTAAATGGAAAAAGTGCAAAAAAGCGAAAAGGCCCATAGGGCTATTTCGACATCCAATTTACAATAATGCTGATACAATTCCAACTCCTTCCTTCCCGCCTGAGTCAAGGGTCTATCGACAACAACCTATTTACCCTCCCAAGGTAGGGGAGTAAGGTCTGCATACACACTACCCTCCCCAGACCCCACTTGTGGGACTTCACTGGGTTGATGTTGTTGTTACAATTCCAACTCCTCAAAGTTGAGATTCAAAAAATAAATTGTTTCTCATTGGAATCACCTTGTAAGTCATTC